ATATATATATATATATATATATATATATATATATATATATATATATATAATCAATATACATAATGTATATTTTATAATATTGCAAGTATCTATGAATCCTCTCACATCTACCACAAATTATCATAAATTTCTAATCACATTAAACGAAACAATTCTCTAAATTCTCAACAGAATAAAATATTTAATTTTAAAACAATTTATCATTAAAAAAAAATTTCTGTTTCACTGTCCTCGTTTATTGCCTCTTCTTGTTTTTTTTTTCGTGGATATAAAACAATAGATGTCATCTTCTGTAACATTTCATTTGTTGGTTGAAATGTAATACAATTTTCCTCTCCGGATTGTTTCACGTACTCAGCTGTTAGTAATAATCCATTGACTGTTTCAATTTTCAATTTATTTCTGTATTTTGTCTTCATCATATTGATCTATAATGTTCACATTTAGGTAGAATTAAAGACAAAATTAATTACAAAATGATATTATTACTATGAAAAAATGCAATTAAAAAAATAATCATTATTATTTTATTTAAAGATATATATTTACTTGACTAAAAATTCGTTCACAATCTGCATTTGAATGTAGCAAACTTAGTATGTCAAGAGCAAATGTAGCCAATTCATGGAATTCAGATTTTCCAACAGCATTATTATAGTCTAAAATTTGGTTCCAAAATTTGTCAACGCAAATATCTGGTTTTCCAACATTTTTAGGCAAAAGGGAAACTAAGAAAGGAAGACGCCGCCATTGATTGTCTATTACTTGCATAACGTTATTATTTTGGCAACCCAAAATTCTTGATACTACTTTCAGTAAATTTATAAGTGTCGGAGTGGTATCCCGGTATGATAGAGATAAAGCATTTTTTGGACGTAATACTCCAAGTTGGTTCAAAATAGGATCTTGCATATTATAACGATTTGATATTTGTTGAGCTGATACCTAAAAACAAAAATTGACTATAAAAATTGAAGTAAATAGATATTTTATTTATTTATAAAATTTATCAGTCGAAGATCTAGCAAGAAATATTTATAATTTCTTTAGATCAAGTTCAAAAAGGCAATGTCAACTTCAAGAATTTCAAGAATTTGTCAATGTAACCCCACATAAAATGTTACATCCATCTCAAACACGTATTTTATTTATAAATAAATAAAATATCTATTTATAATAAGAACCTGTAGGAATTTTCTGTAACACCAGTAAAACTCTTCTAATTCCCTTTGTTCAATGAGACCAGTAGCTTGGTAAACTTTTATACCCAAATACATTTGTGTATACGGGATGAATTCGTCTTCTTTGCAAGGATTGATATCACAGAGTGAAGTTTTTATAATATAATGTTTATTCATATAACATAGAAGAATTTCCTTGTAAAGATTTATTATTTTGTCGTGAAGTTCAGTGACGACTACCGCGTTACTTTGAAAGAAACGATTAAAGTCCGTAAACTTTGGTAGAATCCATTCAAGAAAAAAAAAATATAATTTTGTTAAAGGATTATTAAGCTCTTTAAAAATTTGTTCTGTAACTTGGAACCATCCAATTAACCATCTGTAAAAAATAATGTTAAAGCTTCCCATTGTTCAATAATTCTCTCTACGACCATTACTAAGGAAAGCCAACGTGTTTGAGATGGATGTAACATTTTATGTGGGGTTACATTGACAAATTCTTGAAATTCTTGAAGTTAACATTGCCTTTTTGAACTTGATTTAAAGAAATTATAAATATTTCTTGCTAAATCTTCGACTGATCTTGGAAGATTTTTGCACGCTTCATTTGCGCATAAATGAGCAGAGTGACATACACATTTTAAAACGAATATATCAGGACACTCTTTTTTAAGCTTACTAGCTACATAATTATGTTTGCCCATCATTGCACTGCATCCATCTGCAGCAAACCAATCAAATTCGAAAGAGGTATCGAATTATCTTTAAAAGATTTGATTATTCCTTTAAATAAGTTTTCTGCTGTTGCACCTTCATTGACATTCACAGAATCAAAAATTTTACTCAGTTCCCAAAATCTACTGACAATTTTTTTTTAACTAATATCATTAAATCTTACTACTATGCAAGATGTTTTTACACTTGATATGTCAATCGATTCATCCGTAAGAAGACTAAATTTAGTATTTTTTAATATTTCTGCCAATTTTTCTTTATGATATTTACCTATAACATTTACTGCAATATTAGTAGCTTTGGTTCTTTTCATTGTGATATTTTGCACTATAGGGTGATCATGACAATTTTTTAATAATTGCACCAAATGATCAGCTAATCGAAATGGTAAATTATGTTCTGCCAAGAAACCAACTAATTTTATTTCAGTAGACATTATGGTCTTATCTATGGATTGTTTTTTACTGGTAAAGCATGAAATAGATTTTTGTTTTACAGTCATTACTTTCATTTTTTCCTTATGTCTCATACTTTGTCCATGCCGCTTAATTACTAATAAATCTGAATTCATAGAATAAGAGCAATATATACATTTTGCTTTATATTCATTATTCTTATCAGATGTTAACCAAATACTAAATTCTGATTGAGAAAGCCATTTTTTGGTAAACTTTTGTTTTCGATGTTTCTTTTTAATTAGTTTATTTTATTTTCCTAATGCATTGAATTCTGAATTAGATGCATCAAAACTGTATAAATATAAATATAATATAATAATTAGATATAAGATATATTAGATAAGATATATTAGATAAGAGAAAAAACATTGTTAAATAATGATTACATATCTAAATAACAAAAATTGATAGCTCAACCATCATCAAATGTTGGATAACGATTAACCAAACAATCTATGCTATTTAAGTAGTAAATTATTATACAAATACAATATTATTATACCTTTCTTTCTGTGTGGCCATATTTTCTATTAAAAAATATTCATAAACAAAAGAATATTAGATAATCTATTAATATATAAGGAATATTCTGAATGTTTGCACTGAAAATATACAGTACATAACAAAGAACACAGATTTTAGCATAACAACTTCGACAGATTAACGCGATGTAACAAACGACATGCAACGTGCGACATTCCTATGAATATATATTACATTTTTCAGAAGAGTTGCATGCTTATTGAATATTGCATGTCGTGAATGCGCGACTTCTGGAACTTTAGTTCCAGTCCATAATGCTGCTTCAAATCCTAAACAAACTGATCAGTTAGGGCCATTGCACGTAAAAAATTTTTAGTCGTAAACGTAATTCCGTAAGAAAATTGACCAATCACAGTTGATTATTCTCCTCGCCTCCTCGAACGCGAGGAAAATAATCAACTGTGATTGGTCAATTTTCTTACGGAATTACGGTTACGACTAAAAATTTTTTACGTGCAATGGCCTTTACAATAGTTTATTACAAGAATAACCGACTGTAACTGGTCAACTTGCCCACAGCCCAAAGCAAGTTTGTGGACCAAGGCTAAGGTATAGCAAGTTTTAGCAGGAAGAAACTGTCTAAACAAAATTGGTTATTTTTCTATAATTCCACTGTAATTGGTCAATTTCTTACGGCCTAAAAATCCCCACACCTAGGGTGCGTATATCAGTTGGACACGGGGCAATTGGACACAGTCCAATCACAAGTCGCTGTTCCAAGGGACCCTACAAATGTCTCTAATCATACGGTGCTGTGATTGGCTGTGTCCAAATGCACCGTGTCCAAGTGCACCGCTCCCCGTTCGGGGAACGCGCTATTAGCATTGATCAGCGCTAACGACTTGACCAATTCGCATTGGTGAATTCGGATTTTAGTCAAAAATAATATAGTAGTATAAATAGTCGTACAACATTAAATAGTAGTACAATATGGCGTACGACACACCCTTTAGGTCATATGTAGTAAAAAATATGAAATTATCGTACAGATACGACTATAATCGTACGTCTGGCAACACTGGTGTTACGAAGTGTATGGTAACTCCACGGATCTCCACCTTCTCAATACGATCGAGGATTGAGAGAAGGCTTCGCGCGACCACTTCGGATTACCTTGACGCTTCCACCGCAGTGGACGTCTCTCTTCGCGACTTCTCCCGTATTACATATATCGAGTATTAGCGCCGACAGAACTTATTACGGTCGAGCTCACGACTCCGTGCGAGTCGTCGTTGTACTCAGGAACTCTGCTGTCAGGAACGCAGCATATACAAGCGAGCCACGCTCGCCTTTACGTCCGCTTAGGACTTAATCGCTGCCAGGGACGCAGCATATACACGTGAGCCACGCTCGCCTTCACGTCCGCACAGAATTTAGACGCTACCAGGGACACGGCATATACACGCGACATAAGCTCGCCTTCACTTAGTCGCTGCCTGGGCCGCAGCACTTACGCGAACCACGTTCGCTTCTTCACCGACACTGAAGCTATACCCGTCGCATATACGACTCCATGCGCGGGTTACACTCGCGTCTAAGTTCCCGCGAGACTTAGTCTACGTCGCCCTCGCGACGTTACGATTCTCATTACTATTGATCCTCCGATAAGGAGGACCTTTCCTAGCGTGGAGGCGCTGGGAAGCGGTGCATCCCCGCAGGGCCGCCGCTTCGATTGATCTAGCTCGCTTTATTCGAGTCGGCAACGAAGACTCTCGTCTCCGAAGAACGCTCGCGAATCGCTTGCACCCCATGTCATCTCACGGGGCCGCTGGATAGCGGACTGCCAGCGACGAAGCCCGCGGTCTCCACGAGGCGAGCGGACACCTATTCGCATCTCGCACAACGAACCAGCCGCTCTCCACCCTCGGGCCGTTCGAAACATATATATATTTATTATTTTCATATATCAATAATATAATTTTCAATGTTCCTCAAAAATAGTTACAACATTGAAAAATATTGTAGTTTTTGTTCAATATAATTTAACATTGCAGCTCTATCTGGTTACCAATGTTAAAAAATCAATATAAATTTCATGCAGAAAAACATCCGCACTTCTATCTTCAATATTGCATCAACGTCTCATCAACATTTTTTCAATGTTTTGTGCTGTCTGGGTATTATTTAGCATGTTTACCATTGTTGTGTTAGCACTGGTCCATACGAATGTTTGGGAGATAAAAGGCAAAAATTTATATTTATATATTGTAACGCTACACTCGCGGCTCGTGCAGCCAACTCGGGACTGGTCCACCTCGGCAGCTCTTTCTCGACGTTCTCCTCGTTAGATGGATGTCAGCTCAAACAGGCCTCCTTTAGAGTGGATTCACCTGTCGGTCCTTAATTACGCATAACAATAATAAGGAAGCGATTCACCTGGGATATTTGGTCTGTCCAATGCTTCTCGTCAGGATTCCTCCTCTCCCACAGCGGCAGCAAATCCTCCCCGATGTCTTCTTCCTCCTGATCCGACCTCTTGACAACCGCACTCGTTCTTTATACACACAAAATATTCGGGCCACGCAGGCTCGGGAGCGGTGCACTTGGACACGGTGCATTTGGACACAGCCAATCACAGCACCGTGTGATTAGAGACATTTGTAGGGTCCCTTGGAACAGCGACTTGTGATTGGACTGTGTCCAATTGCCCCGTGTCCAACTGATATACACCCCGCAGGCTCGCGTCCTATTCACCTTATAGCTAGGACGCGACATCCACCCGCAGCCGGGAAGCCCGCTTTCGGCTTCCGCACGACTTTCCGAGTGACGGACGATAAAACAATCGTCACGTCACAATACATATATATTTATATATATTATATATATATATATATATATATATATATATATATATATATATTAGGTGGTAAACTTAGTTCATATATATATATGAGGGGCGCCGGCGGTTTCCCGCCAAGCTCACTATGCGTGAAAACCACACACACACACCTCACAAAAAGAAATAAGAA